CCGAGGATAATGACAGAATCTGCTGCAGCCTTCTGGCCGGAGAATTAAATGAGACAATGACCACAGCATACCAAGCACAGCACATGGCACACAGTAAGGGCTCCCTACCTGGTACCTGGAAGCCACTGTCATCACCACCGCATCCTGGAGACAGCGCCATAGGCAGTTGTGCTGTGTCACCAAGAGCCCTGGGGCACAGTGGTAGATACAAGCAGGGAGGCATTTTTCATAATTTCTTGGAGTTCAGTTATGAACCCAGGAGTGATACACCAGGTAAATCTAGGGATAAGTACTTTTAAATTGCTCAGAAAAAGCACAGTCTATTTTATCAAATAAAGATAGAAACACATCCGTAACTTACAGTTGTAACACAACAGCAGACCAGCTTCTCCATCTTCATATACATCAATAGCTGCAACAAAATTAACCTGCAATGATAATGGGCAATGGTAGTGGGCAGGCTGGACGCTGACCCTGTGAAAAGACATTTTAGGTTGCAAGCATCTGCAGTGGCCTGTAACCCTCCTGACTCAGGTGCAGTGGGGTCATGTCTACCTCATCAGCACCCACAATGCATACAAGGGGCCATGATTACAATACACAGGATTTGTGAAAGAAATGAAAGTCTCCCTGTCCTTTCTCCACTGGACTTTTCTACTGTCTTCTCATACCCTAACCTTTGAGAAGCTCCATGTCTGGCATCTTTACTCTTTCTATTAAAATGCTTCAGGTTTATATGGTGAGCTCCAATTACCAAAGCATTTTCATGTAGGTTATTTATTTCACTCTCACATTAACCCTGGAAAGTAGATGGCATTAATCCCATTTTACAGATGATGAAAATGAGGTTCGGAGTGGTGAACTCACTCAAGACCCTCAGCTGATTAGTGCCACAGCCAAGATATGAACCAGGGCTCTGGTTCTTTCTCTACCTTACCATGCCCATGCCTCCAGTTAGACTTCCTCCTGACTCAAATAAATATAAAGTGTCTTCAAATTGCCATGGCATGTCTTTATTTCTAGTCCTTCTTTGTCCTTCATTTCAAACAAGGTACCATAGTGTCATGAGAAGGGTATCAGGAGACTCATTGCTATGATCTGGCGCAAACTTGTCTCTCTGGACCATAGTTTCTGTGTTTGAGAAGTGGGCATTCAACTTGATGGCGTCCTTGGTCCTTGATTTTCAAAACTCCAACACTCTAAGAGTCTCCTGCTTCTCTTGCTTCCTTTCTTGTATTCTCAGCCCTTACAGCCTGGCCTTCCACACTTCCAGGGAAACTGCCCTCTGAGTCCAACTAAGACCTCTTTTTCCCCAGCTGAAGGCCTTAGCTGGTGAGGTAGTGGGGGTGGGAGAAGGGGCACAGCCTGGATCAACAGACTGGAGTTCAAGCCTTGCCTGTGCTGCTCACTGGCTCCGTGGTATGTGGCAAATGGTTTAGCCTCTGGCCTTAGGTCTTTGTCTATAAAGCTGGCATAATGATAATACTGATCTAGCCAGGTTGTAATGGGAATTAATGAGGCAAGGCAGAGATTTTAGCACAGGGCCTGACACATAATAAGCACTCAGTGAGGGCTATTGACTTTATCTCTCACACAACCATTTTCCCTTAAACCTCTTCCTTTTTGTTTTGTTTTTGTTTGTTTGTTTGTTTGGTTGGTTGTTTGGTTGTTTTTTTTTTAAGTTGGCGTCTCATTCTGTCACTCAGACTGGAGTGCAGCGGCTGCTCCCGGCCACCTCAGCCTCAACCTGCTGGGCTCTGGCGATCCTTCCACCTCAGCCTTCCAAGAGCTGGAACTACAGGCGTGCGCTACCACGCCTGGCTAATTTTTTATTTATTATAGAGATGAGATCTCGCCAAGTTGCCCAGGCGGGTCACGAAACCTCTTCCTTTTTGTTAGCAGAACTATTCTCGAAGTCTCAGAGACTCCCTCCCCCTCCCCATGTCCAGTGGCATCCTCCTCACAGAGTCTCTCAGGCATCACCTGAATGCAGCCTTTGCCTCTAAATAGTCTCATTGTGGCACCATGTCCCCACCTGGCCACCATCAGCCTGCATTGCTGTCTGAGCTCTGGTGCTTCTCTCCCATCTATCATTACCAGGCACTGAACTAGGTGCCAATAGAATACAGAAGTGAAAAAGGTAAGGTCCCACCCCCCCACACCCCTACCGCAGGAAAAAGTCAGAAAGCATACAAGTACATAAAACAAGTTATGATGGTTACAAATGCCACAACCAAGAGTTATGGGAACTTTGGGAGGAGTGACAGTGAGGACCAGTGGCCAAGAGCTCTGGCTGTGGGATTAAATCCCAGATAATCTCCCATCACTCTATATCATGGCCCTGTATTTTAGTTTCTCTGTGTAGCATGCACTGCTCTCTGGTGTTCACATCTGTTTGTTCCCTGTAGCTTCTCTCCCCACTAGACCATCAAGCTCAAGATACAGAGGCCTGTCTGTGTTGCTCACTGCATACCCTTACCCTGGCAGGAGTAGAATAAACTCACTGGACGAATGACAGAATTAATGTAATCTCAGCTCCCTCACTCAGAAGTGCATACATGTAAGTCAGCTGTTTTTCATCTCTGAACCTCAGTTTCTTCATTTGTAAAACAGGGAATGATAAGAGCATCTACCCTATGGGGTTGAGGACTCTAGAAGGTATCTTACATAAGCACCCAGCACAGGGCCTGGAACTTGGTAAAAGCTCAATAAATGTTAGCTAATATCATTTAGATACAGAGCCATCACCAATGGGTATACTATCTGAGAGACAGTCCTTGAGTCCATCTGATCCCCTGAAAGAAGGCTTCCTGACACCTACTATTGTGACTTAGAATCACCTCCTCCTTATGTACCCCTGTATGTGTCAGTTTTATTTCACTACCTCAGTAGGGGCTTTGTGCTGCAGCAGGGACATATGTGTTTGCTCTGCCAGACTGTGGGCATTCCTAGGGGAAGCTACAACATGTGAGGCTAAGGGCATGCTCTCTGGAGTCAGCCAGGTGGGGTCCAAGTCCTGCCTCTGCCACTTACTAGCTGTGTGGTTTGGGGTAAATTAGTGATTCCACTTTTGAGTCTCAGTTTCCTTTTCTGTAAAAATGGAGAAATGAAGAGCACCTCCCTCACAGACTGTTGGAAAGTTTCTGAGATACAATGCTTAAGACATGCTTTGACCCAGGGCCTAGTACACAAAGGTGGCCACGCAATGGTGGCTGGGATTATTATAATTATGAGAGGGTCCACTGCAGTGGGTAAGGTGGACCTAGACAGCCCTTCAGTTTAGAGCTAGATAGAGCGTGTGTATGTTTAGGGTAGGGAGAGAGAGGGAGGTGGTGGTGATGAACTGATGAGCATTGAGGAAGTTCAGGCAGCCCTCTAGACCAAGGTCTGTGCATAGTGACAATGGACACCAGGGGGCATCTGTCATCAAGTAGGTCTACTAAGGGGTTCCAGGCTGTGGTCACGGGCAGAGGACTGTGGCAGCATTCAGAGAGGCTTTTCATCTGATGAATAAAAAGTAGTTCATTTTATTGGCACTTAAAAATGATTTTAAAAAATATGGTGTTTGTGAAAATTCACAACACAGACTCGTAACAAGTGACATGGGTACCATGCCTTCCCCAGCTAGTCTAGCCTTCCCACGTGACCCTAGGCGGGATGCCAGCTGAAAACCACTGTGTCTGGCAGGACAGTCAATATGGGGATCTGGGCCCACACATGTCATGACCATGTCTACATGTCTACAGCTCCTTCCAGAGGAGCCCTTGACTTTAGGAATGAAGCCAATCGATAGTGGCACTAGGTGGGTTTGCAGCCCTGTTACTATAGAAACTTGAAGGTGAGTTTCAGATCTCCACTTTAGTGCTTCTAAAATATTTTCTCTGTTGAGCTAAGATTGTCTTAGAACCTGGGGTGGGATGGAAACTTGAAATGGTAATCAAGTGGCCCTGGCTGAGAAGAGAGGAGGAATGAAAGCAGAAAGCAAGGCTGTTTAGTCAGCACTGGTACAGGCATGGAGCGAGCAGGCAGCGAGTTAGAACAGAATGGAAGTGGTTACTCAGGCTTGGTCAGCCTTTCTCTCTGGCCTCCACTGCCCTGGTGATGAGCTGTGGGAACCTACTGACTGAAAGTTAGGGCTGGGCTAAGTGGCTCAGCCTGTAATCCCAGCACTTGGGAGGCCGAGGTGAGTGGATTGCCTGAGACCACGGGTTCGAGACCAGCCCGGCAACTTGGTGCGACCTCTTCTCTACAATAATATAAAAAATAGCCAGACATGGTAGCCCACGACTGTATTTCCAGCTACTCGGAAGGCTGAGGCAGAAGTATAGCCAGAATCCAGCAGGTCAGCACTGGGGTGACTGTGAGTGTGCCACTGCACTCCAGCCTAGGCAAAGGAGTGAAACTTCAACTCAGAAAAAAAAAAAAAAGAAAGAAAGCTAGGCCTGGGCTGGGCTCAGTGGCTCAGCCTGTAATCCCAGCATTTTGGGAGGCTGGGAAGAGTAGATTGCCTGAGTCTGCAAGTTTAAGACAAGCCCAGTCAACTTGGCGAGACCTCATCTCTACAATAAATAAAAAATTAACCAGGCATGGTAGCATGCGCCTGTAGTTCCAGCTACTTGGAAGGCTGAGGCGGAAGTATAGCCAGAACCCAGCAGGTCAGCACTGGGGTGACTGTGAGTGTGCCACTGCACTCCAGCCTGGGCGAAAGAGTGAGACTCCAACTCAAAAAAAAAATAAAGTTAGGCCTATTGTCACAGGGCCTGTTTCTGTTTCTGACTAGCTATTAGAAAACACTGCTCATTACCTTTCTCATTTCTTCAGGACTTACTTCCCAGTCAGACAGTAAATTCCTTGCAAAGGTGAATGAGTGTGTCTGACTAAGCATGCATGCTTGGCAGCCCCTCTGCAGCTGCTGCTTTACCAGAGGAGGGACTGTGCATGCTGAGCCTCTCAGAGCCAGGGGCCAGGGAAGGGCTTTTTCCCCTTTTTTTCTTTAATTTTTTCTTCTCTTAAGGAAAAGCTTTGTATCTTTGTTTTTTTAAAAAGCACATTGAAGACAGAAAATTTGAGAATTTTTCCTCATAGACATCCAAAAAACAAACAAAGCACAGAAGTCATCAAAGAAAATTATTTTTAACCCAATTTTTCCTGAGGCTTTGGATACTAAATATAAGTAAATAACCACCATATGAAAGAACTTTAATAAAACAATTTTTTTCTCTACAGCCATCCTGATAAATAAGCAAACTGCACAATTCTCAGCCACTTCTGTATGATTTGTTTTAAACTAGAACATGTCAGAAAGTGTCTCTGAAATGAAGTGAGGATGTTTGCACTACAAAAGCTGGTTAAGTCTTAGGAAACTAGTGCCAGGGAAAGGACTGAACAAAGGCCTTCTGGGCCATGGTTTTTCTGCCTCTTTTGGCTGCCACACAAAGGGTTTTGAGAAGCAAGTAAGGGGGTGAGAACTTTTAAAGGACAAACTGGACCCTCGCTCCTCAGAAATCTGTGGGTTGGAAGAGATGCCAGGTCCAGGGAAGCACAGGCAGGTGGGGGATGGGGTGTTCCACTCTACTTTAATAGAGAGTTTCAGGATCAACCCCTTCTCCTAGGTCTACATTAGCATTACCTGGGGGCAGACTTAATGCTGGCACTGGCTCCCAAATAAAACACCCCTAAAAAATTCTGATTGAACTGATCTTCTTAAAGCTTTCTAGGTGGTGACACCAGGGTTGAAGGCAATGTAGTACATGAGAGGTTCCCAATTTGCATGAGCACTGGAATCACCCAGGGATCATTTAAACATTCCCAAGCCCATGCCACATCCTAGACCCATGAGACCTCTGGGGAAGGAAACATGGGCATCAGTAGCTACTCAGATGACTCCAATTACAAACCCATTTGGGCACCAATACAGATAAGAGAAATGACAGACTACTCTGTGATCTGTAACAGTGGAAATCAAGAAGGTCTCCTAATTACAACTAGATTTTTCTATTTCTGATTTTTCTGTTTCTTAAAATCTTGCTCTAATTAGGTATCAAGTCTTCCTAAAATAGTAATTAGCAATTTTAATGAATGTTTATATAGAGCATGTGCTAATATAAGTTGTAAAGCATAATTGGAAAAGATTTCAAAGTCTCTTCGATTTAGCTGAACAGGACTGGAGGAAGTCTGAGAAGGACCAGGGGAAGCCAGAGATAAGCCTGAACAGGACCGGGAGAAGCCAGAGATCTCATGGGTCTAGGGCATGGGCTTGGGGATGTTTAAATGATCCCTGGGTGATTCCAGTCCTCAGGCAAATTGGGGTCAGGAAGCCATGATTAGAAGCTACATTCACCCTGGGAGTGATGTTCCCATTCTGTGCAGTCCTAAGTTGGAATGTGGGCTTGTACTGTACTACACAAACTTCAAGTGGCTCACTGCTATCAGGCCCTGCCCTGTGTCACAGCAATACATGGCAGAAGACCTCTGTGGTCTGCTGATGTCAGCATCAGTGCCGAACAGTTTCCAGTGACAGACAGGTCACCAGGCCTCAGGGTGATGAGTGTCACCCCCATCTGGTGAGCACTGAAGTTTAGACCCCACACTATCTTTAGAGTGGGCTAATATCCAGGTCTAATATTGAGCCCATAAGGATACTATCTTTAGAGTGTCAGTGCAATTTCAGGTGGCCCTAGATTTTATGCCAAGCCAGGACACCTTAATCTCTGTGCAGCTCAGGCCAGAATGTATCCCCCCTAGTGCAGATCTGCTTGCTCTTTCTCTCCTAATGGGGCCCCGCCCCTTCTTCCTTTCCTAGTGGCCTCTAAGGGGATGGAGAGGGGTGCTATTTCCACACCAGTCACCTAACCCTCAAGTTGAGAGTCTGCAGGGCTGCAGAAGGCAAGCTTATTCTCCAAAGGCCCTCCCAGCACAAGTGTACCAACAAATGCTCTCATGTATTTAGTTATTTATATTCATCTTTTTAACTCATCATATCTCATTCAGAAGGACAAAATGGCAGGGTAAGATCTGAAAGCTGAATGGGGCAATGGAAGGTCACATGGTATTAGATGGACACATATTGATCTACAAAAAGGGCAACTGCATGTAACTTACTCAGCTTAAATGGTGGATCACATAATACTGATATAATGAATAGTATATCATTTCAAAGAAATCCAAATCCTGGCGTCCCAAAGTTGAAGACATGACAATTAGTTTTCTCTGATTCCCACTTGTCTCCATAACCATTAGCTTACCCTGTTGGCCTCTACGTGGTGCAGCCTGAAGGCCTCTCCTGTGCTCTCGTTCACCACATCAAATTGGTGTCGATAAGCCACACAGATGAGGTTGTCGCTCTCTTCTGTTGGCCCATCCACTAAGGTCATCACCACAGGAGAGTCAGATAGGCAGATCTCCTATGTGGGGTGATGACAGTGTAGGAGACAGGGGTTAAGACACAGAGCAGCCAGTTTCATGCCAACCTCATCATCCGCCCTCTCCTTCCAGAAGAGGGCATCCTCCCCAGGCTCTTGCAGAGTTCCATGCTGCAGGGAAGGAAGAGGGACCAGGGGAGGTGGCGGGGGTCACATCAGACTTCTCCCTCCCATAATTGTCCTCAAGACTCAGGCCTCAGCTGGGCATGGTGGCTCACACCTATAATCCCAGCACTTTGGGAGGCCAGGGCAGGAAGGTTGCTTGAGCCCTGGAGTTTGAGGTCATCCTGCACAACCCAGCAAAGACTCACCTGCACCCAGGAGGTTGAGGCTGCAGTGACCATGATTGTGCCACTGCTCTCTAGCCTGGGCAACAGAGTGAGATCCTGGCTCAAAAAAATGAAAGAAAAAAAAAAAAAGACTCAGACCTCTCTCCACTGGAAAGGGTTGAGGCCAAGATGTAATTTTATAAAACAGATTCAACAGTTTTTCTGCTTTAGCCCTCATATAGTCTGGTGCTGTCCTGGGATTTAGGAATATTATTAATAATTGCAATTTAACATGTACCAGGCACTGTTCTCATTGAATCCTTGTAACAACCTCAAGAAGTATGTATGGCAATTATTCTGTTTTGCAGATTAGGAAACTGAGGCTCCAAAGTTAATCACAAAGTTTATATATAATGGAGCCAAGTTGTGAACTCAGAAAATCTGATTTCAGAGTTTATACTACAAAAATGTATATACTGCATGTAAATATTCATAAAATGCTAATTGTTATACAAAGAAGGCTAACACCTAATTTTGACTTGTTTTAACTTAACTGTCATGCTACTCTGTCGCCTGAAGTTGAATATTAGCAGAAATTGAAATGCATAATTCAGGAGGCTTTAACTCTATGCAAAAATAGTTTCTCAGTTCACCAACAGAAGTACTTCATCTTAGTGGCCAATGTTTGACACATTCCTAACGTTAATGTACCATAGTCTTTAAAAAGATAGGAGCAAATCCTGCTGACTGAGATGAGCAGTGCAGTGTTGCCTACTGCTTCCTCCCACCTCTCCAGCTACCAAGACCACAATAATCTCTTGCCAGTAACCTGCAGTGGCCTCTTAGTAAGCCTCCTTATTTCCACTCCTATTCTCTCCTCTACCCAGTAGCCAGAATAATCTTTTCAAAATATGCCACTTCTCTGCTTCAAATCTGCCACTGGTTTTCCACTTCACCCAGAGTCAAAGACAAAGTCCTTACAATGGCCTCAGGGCTCAAGAGAATCTGATCTCAGTTCTCCCTGACATGCCTGCCTTGCTTCCTCTCCTCCAGCCACCCAAGTCTCTCCACTGTGCCCTCAATAGGGCATCAGGACCCTGGATAGTATGCTCCTTCTGCCTGGAATGCCCTTTCCCCAGATACCCTCATCCTTCACTCACTACCATATTTTTGATCTCTGCTCAAAGGTAACCTTTTCAGAGAGAGCTTCCTGGGATACTGTCCTCTGTTTCCTGTGCCTACTTTATTTGTAGCCTCAGCACTTCTTTCTGCCAGCCATTATAGATTTCTTTGCTTATTTCAACTAAAAAGTAATCTCCATCAGAAGACTGTGTCTTGTTCATTGCTGTGTCCTTTGTACCTAGAACAGTACCATAGGTGTTCACTGGAATTAATGAGCTTCTGCCTTAGTCTGAGGAAAACTAGGGCACCAGAGATGAGGGTTTCCCTGGTTGGTTACTGAACAGTGGGACAACCCCAGTGGATGACGATTTCTGGGTGGAAGGAGAGAGTCAGCTTCATGACATCTTGGCCAAAGGCATTTGAAGAGAAAGCCTACCCTGATGTACTGGAACTCTTCAACAGGTGACTCAGACAGGGGAGACAACAATGAGATGCTGGTGACTCCACTTGACTTGTTGTGCTTCCTTGTGATCAGAAGCAGCTTATTCCGAATTGCGACCACAATCCTCAGTTCTCTGCTATGATGAGTGTTAATAGCATACAGGTGGCAGCCTGGGAGGAGAAAGTGTCAAAACATTTTGGCAATACCTAAGAACCCTAGAGATTAAGCATGACTCAGAGGATGGCCTAAGAATATTTCTAACACCAGGCAAAATATAGACTTGACATTAAAATCAGGTTGAGTTACAGGAAAATTAAGAAAGTCATAATCCCTATATCCTAGAGTTTGTGGACTTTGCTTCACATCTACATGACATGAATTAAAGTAATCAGAGTTCCAGGAATCAAAGTCTAAACATTTCTTTACTCGTAGAGTTGCTAACAGAGCTTAACTCTCCTCCAGAACCTGTTATGTAAGACCTAGAATTTCTTCTAGCCTTCAGTGTGTTTTTCTATCTTTCAAGTACCTTATGGAAATAGTGATGCTATCTTTGTGATGTTTCCAAGCAAAAAAACAAACCAATAAGATAAAAATCTACTCATTTTCATTTTCAATAAAATCTGGGCAGTCTGAGAAAAAAAAAAAAAAGGAATAGAATCCACCAAAACACAAAGACTCAAGTCACCTTTTGTTTTCTCCAGCTTGTTTTCTCTGCAGTCAGACCTGCTCTTCCCAGCCTGTTTCCCCTCGAGGCCTTTTTTCACAGCACTCAGCCTGAAGACAAAGAGGCGGGCATCTTTTCCTGGTGGCAAAAGGAAGGCAGAGGAAGGAAGCGGTTAAATGGAAAAGTAAAATGACCTGGAGGAGCTTCAATAGCAGACTGTGTAGGAAATCTAAGATTGGTGGTAGTTCTGGAATTCTGGAAACACCCCACACCATCTTCACCTAACCATGCAATTATGGGTGTACCCCTTTTCCCCAGCTGCTCTCCTCCCCAAAGGACAAAGGGACCCTCAAGCACTGGGCATTAGGAAAAGAAAGCTAGCTCAGCCTATCAGATCCTAGTGACAAATGGTATGGGCCACAGAATGTTACAGTGTGTCTTCTTCCAAAGCATGCCACCCAGCAGGGGATATACCACCTTTGTCTGCTCTGAGAACCAGAAGGTCCAAAGTCTCAAGCACGTGCATCTGCTTCACTGGCAGAGTTCTGTCAAACACAGGCACTGCCGGAAGGTCATCTGGAAAAGGAAACCTGGTTACCCATCACTGTTACCCAGCCCACACTTTCTAGAACCCATAAAATGTGCCTGTGGGTAGTTTCTAACCCCAATTCTCTCTACGCAAGGAAAGAAGTCAACTTCCAGAGCTCTCATAAGGCCCTCTCAATATGTTCAAGAACTGTTCCCCTTTGGCTCAGGGGGAAATACTGATATTTTGCTTCTGAAAGGTATTCTGAACTCTATATGAAGCATAGCAGCAGAGGCACAAAAACTATATTTTTAATGTTCATTGAAAAAAAAAAGCAACATCTCTCAATACTAATTTTATGTGGAATTGTATCAAAGGACTGAAAATCAAATAAAAAAATAATAAAAGGAATAAGAGCAGTCATTTCTCTCAAGTTTTTCTTATTTTCATGTAATATTTGAAATTGTATCATGTCTTAGGTCATATTATATATTTCTCAAAGTTAAAATTTCCTTTTACATTTAAAAGCACACCCTGTCCTAACATGTCCTTTATCTGTACCAATAGCGCTTTGCCTATAAGTTTTCAATATTTCTTCATATAGGAATATGAAATCTTCATTTTAGACAAAAATATAATAAGAGAGAAATAACAATTAAATTATCCAAAAAGCAAGAAAAACTAATTTAAGTAGAAAAGCTCAGGAAGATTCCAGGTAAATGGAGGATTAAAGACACTGCAATTATACACAGGATTTGTTTTTGAGGCTACTTACTGGGATCTTAAATTGCTAACAATTGCTGTGCTCCTGGGGGACTTCAGGACACAGGGGACTCAAAGAGTTATTAAGGTTGCTCCATAAGTAACAGGTCCTGTTCTGAGATTGATGCAGAATCAGGGCTGGGTAGAAATGTCTAGGATGGTATAGACATTTGAGGCAGGAGTAGTAGCTAGCTCATTCTTCATCTACATTTAGTCTTCAAGCACTTGGCTGTGGGATTGAGTCTGTTTAATTATAATTTAAGTGCAAGGGGCCCTGTGGATATTGCCTTTTGCAGGAAGTGTTGTTGGGAGTTTCATCCCTTCCTACATGGTGCCCAGGAGGAATCAGAGCTTTCACCATCAAGATTACTAACCACCATTCCATGGGGAAAAGATCTCCTGCTCCTACAGGCCTGGGAGGGTTCTGATTTGTCAGAGCACAGAGATTCCTAAGCTTCTATGAGAAACAGAGCTTGTGACTTGTTCTCCTGAACTATTGTGGCAAAGTAAATTTTATGATAGCTCATCAACCACTTTCCTGCCTCCTCTACCCCAGGCCTTCATAAACAGAAATTGATTATCAGGGTCTTTATATTTCTGCTGGGGCAGATTTAATTTTTCAAAACACAGGATGCTCACTCCAATACTTAAATGTCCCAATGACCCTAGTAAGTAGGAACTTATAATATTCCCATTTAACGAATGAGGATCCTGCGGCTCAGTGGTGTTAACTTGTCTGGGGCCACACCTTGAGCATGCGGAGTCCAAGTCTGTGCAAGGACAAGGCTGTGCTCTCCACCAGTGATGTAGCACAAGAGCAGCATTGCATACCTGTGGACAATGATGTGACCACGAAAGCAACAGTCCTGTAAGGAATTAATAAACGATGGGAATCCTTCATTTCACATTGAAAGCAGAGGCAGAGAGAGGGATACCATGTAGCTGCCAAGCTGTGTACAGAGTAAATGAGCATTTATTTTCTAGCCAGTCTTTCTCGGATGGCCGAACAGGTTTACAGACAATACAAGAAGGAAGAAGAGGCAAAGATATGAGAGAGTAGCATGTGGATTTAATGACTAGCAACATTTTTTTTCCTTCTTGCAATCTCTTTATGAAGAAACAATAGTTTAGAACCAGCTTTTCTATTACTACAAAACCAAAATATATAGTGAGTGTACATTTAATCAATATTTAGTCTCCCTTTGAAGGAGTTAAGTTAGGTTTTGCTAACTTAGAATACATAGAGTCTTAATTTGTAATAATGACCTTGAAGGGAGTAGACTCTCAAGAGGTAAGTCTAATGAAATTAAGCAAAGGCTAATGGGATAGAGTAGAACTTTGCCTGGAACAAAATGGACAGATTCACTCATGGAAACAGTTTATAATATGATTAAGTGCAGACCAAAAAATGTAAACAAAGAAGTCACAAGAGTATTGTAGCTTAAAAGCACAACAAGGAATACAAAGAAAGTTTTAAAGGTTATTCTTCATTTAAGCAAAAACAAACAGGGAAGCATCATTGCATAATCAGGACATAAAAAAACTAATATGAGTAATAAATCGAAGCTGGTGGTGGGTGTGTATACAGCTACACTCACCATTGTATGGAAGATGACTTCCTTCAAATCTAGAAGAAAAAAATTGTCTGGCAAATCACAATAATCCTTATATCTGACACGTCCATTATATGGGAATTCCACAAAGATAAAATTTTCAGAAAAGAGCTTGGTAACCTTGGTTTGGATTTTGCATTAAAAAAAAAATAGAAGCAACTCATGCAAATTTTTTTTGTTTGTTTTTAGGCAAGCTTACAAATAGTCACTATGAAACATTGTGATTTCTCGTT